TTGCTCCAACGGCAGCACGACGGCGTGGTGCAGTTGACGCGGCAGTATTCCGACAGGGCTTCGCCAAGCACGTACGGAGGAGGAGAGGTGTTGGGGAGGGGAGGGGCTGCGCCTTGGCTTGTGGTGTGTTGCAGCCCTCCCCTCACCCCTCTATATATAGGGGAAAGGGCAAGGGGGGCCGGCCCTCTAGGGAAAACCCTAAGGAGGGGCGGCGGCCAAGGGGTGGGGGGCTTGCCCCCCAAGCAAGGGGGGTGCGCCCCCTTTAGGGTTTCCCTCCCAACCCTAGGCGCATGGGCCCAAGGGGGGGGGCAAGCCCACTAGGGGCTGGCTGCTATCCCTACGCAGCCCAAGTGGCCCCCCGGGAGGGGTGGTCCCTCCCGGTGGACCCCCGGAACCTTCCCGGTGGTCCCGGTACAATACCGGTATGACCCTGAAACTTTCCGGTGCCCGTTTAACAACTTCCCATATATAAAACTTTACCTCCGGACCATTCCGGAACTCCTCGTGACGTCCGGGATCTCATCCGGGACTCCGAACAACATTCGGTAGTCACATACTAGTCTTCCTAACAACCCTAGTGTCACCGAACCTTAAGTGTGTAGACCCTACGGGCTCGGGAGACATGCAGACATGACCGAGACCACTCTCGGGCAATAACCAACACCGGGGTCTGGATACCCATGTTGGCTCCCACATGCTCCTCGATGATTTCATCGGTTGAACCATGATGTCGAGGATTCGATCAAACCCTGTATACAATTCCCTTTGTCAATCGGTACGTTACTTGCCCGAGACTCGATCGTCGGTATCCCAATACCTTGTTCAGTCTCATTACCGGCAAGTCACTTTACTCGTACCGTAATGCATGATCCCGTGGCCAACACCTTGGTCACCTTGAGCTCATTATGATGATGCATTACCGAGTGGGCCCAGAGATACCTCTCCGTCATACGGAGTGACAAATCCCAGTCTCGATCCGCATAAAACAATAGATACTTTCGGAGATACCTGTAGTGCACCTTTATAGTCACCCAGTTACGTTGTGACGTTTGATACACCCAAAGCACTCCTACGGTATCCAGGAGTTACACGCTCTCATGGTCAAAGGAAGAGATACTTGACATTGGCAAAGCTCTAGCAAACGAACTACACGATCTTTGTGCTATGCTTAGGATTGGGTCTTGTCCATCACATCATTCTCCTAATGATGTGATCCCGTTATCAACGACATCCAATGTCCATAGCCAGGAAACCATGACTATCTGCTGATCACAACGAGCTAGTCAACTAGAGGCTCACTAGGGACATATTGTGATCTATGTATTCACACGTGTATTACGATTTCCGGATAATACAATTATAGCATGAATAAAAGACTATTATCATGAACAAAAAAATATAATAATAACACTTTTATTATTGCCTCTAGGGCATATTTCCAACACCTCCCCCTCCCACCTATATATATGTGGGGAGGGGGCGCCTAGAACACACAACAAACATTGTTAGCCGTGTGCGGCGCCCCCTCCATAGTTTATGCCTCCGGTCATATTCACGCAGTGCTTAAGCGAAGCCTTGCGTGAATCACTTCACCATCACCGTCACCACACTGTCGTGCTGACGGAACTCTTCCTCGACACTTTGCTGGATCAAGAGTTCGAGGGACGTCATCGAGCTGAACGTGTGCAGAACTCGGAGGTGTCGTACGTTCGGTGCTTGATCGGTCGGTACGAGAAGAAGTTCGACTACAACAACCACGTTAACAAATGCTCCCGCTTTCGGTCTACGAGGGTACGTAGACACACTCTCCCCATCTCGTTGCTATGCATCTTCTAGATAGATCTTGCGTGATCGTAGGATTTTTTTTGAAATTGCATGCCACGTTCCCCAATAGACAATATGCGGGATTGCACGATTATGTTGATCTGTCGAATATGGTCCTTGCGCTCGGACTTAACGCAAGGGAAGGAGACTCCACCCTTGGCGACTACACCCGACTTTCTACATAGCTATATGAATTCTTTGAATATGTGCAGGAGATTCTCTACAGAAGAAATGATCAAAGGGAAGATGCCAATGATGCAGGAGGCGATCGTCGAGATTCCTGGCCTGGGCAATCCTTTGACGTGGCCGCGTCCGCCGGCTGGCCGAGCTGCTCTATCTGTGGATGGAGCGTTCATGCAAGCTGATGGCTCAGCGGCGGCTGGTATGATATTGCAAAGGCATGATGGGAGTGTGATTTTCGCGGCCTACAAATGCATTTTCAACTGTAATGACGCATTGGAGGCAGAACTACATGCAATAATGCAGGGTATGGCTCTAGCCCTGCAGCACTGTACCCTCCCGATCGTCGCTCAGTCCGACTCGTCAGTGGCACTAGCGGCTATGACTGGGGATAGCTTAGCCAGATCGGCGTATGGACACTTAGTAGCGGAGATTCGACATCACATGGGTGTTCGAGAGTTTATTCCGTCCAAAATCAAGCGTGAGCAGAATAGGGTAGCACATCGGTTGGCATTGTATAGTCGTACAGAAAGTAAAACCGTTGTATGGTTCGGTAGAAGTCCACCGTGTACTGAGGAGTTGGTGCCCCTGGATTGTAACCTTATCCCTATGAAATAAAACTCTCTTACCATTGCAATGAAAAATAAAATACAATGAGCAATGCAAGTTACTTGAGTTTTTTTTAGTAATAGTTACTTGAGGTGGGCGTGTTCTGAACTCCTCCCAACTCTCCCAACTCCTTAAATCCAGCTTCCCAGCGCAGCTTCCAACTTCACATAGCGATTTAATCCCGTTCGGCAGCCACGCTAGCTTCTCTCATTGCCAACATGGGCTGGCAGCATCTATGGCCTGTCTTAGCGCCATAATGGGCCGGCTAGAACCAGCCCATAATGAGCAGGCTCGAGAGATGAGGGGTGCCGATTCGATCGTGAGGAGGACCGCCGCTTCGAGGGGTCATTTATCTATTGAGTGAGGGGGCATCGAACCGGTATGTAACTTGATGATGGCAGATCGCTGTAAATTAGGGGAACTCCCAACTTCACGTTCGGTGGAGCTGGGCCAAGCGGGCTCCTCGTTTTTGCATTACGATCCGGCTAGCTTCTCAGAAGTTAGCTTCTTGGAGCCCATCCGTCCGGCTCAAAATCATTTATGGAGTTGGTGAAGTTGGAAGCTGGAGGAGTTCAGAACAGGAAAAATGCCTCACAAACATACACAGACGAAGTAGTTGTGGCTCGCCTCGGCTATATGCAATGCGCGGGCCAGCGTTCCTTCCAATTCGCTAGAAGCAATAAATAGAGGCGCCCATTCCCATTGTACATGACGCAGGAATGCAGCCATAATAAGCTAGTAGAAGAAAAACATTTTGCAATGCTACATTTGTTTCTTGCGAGCTTTCGTGCGAAGCTAGTATAATTGGGTCTAAAAAAAATTCTTGAGCGTTTCTTGAGAGTTTTTTGCGAAGCTACGAAAAGCGAAATCACTAATTAAAGGGTGCCCTTACAAAGATCACTCCCACCTTTTTAGGTTACGACAAGTGGCACTTGCATGTGTGTCACTTATTGCAACTTATGAGTTTTTCCTTTTTCGTTGATTCATTTATGCAAAATATTTTATCTCTTAAACCGCGTGTTTAAATCATGAACCGTTTTCAGCGCTGGTTTTCTTGCATCGAGATCTTTAAAATTAAATCTCATGTTAATAGGTTTCGACGAATTTTTTTCATGAAAAAATCCGAAAGGAATAAAAAAACCAAGCTGAAAAAATATGTTTTTTTTTCTTTTCTGAGGCACGCGGAAGCAAAACTGTGCATGCACGAGAAGCAAATTTATGCCTTCCCAGAACAAAAAAAATGCTTTTTTCCTTTTTTGAGTTCTCGCGGTAAATATGTGCTTCCACAAGAAGCAAATCTGAGTCTGTTTAAGAGATATGACTGTGCCTCTTGGGGAGGCAAAAGTATGCCTCATGAGCTCGCGGAAGAAAGAAAACACGATTTTTTTTCCTTTCTGAGAGGCACAACTTATGAAAGCAAACATGTGCATGTGCCTCCGAAAGAAGCAAATTTGTGTCTCTCACGGAAGAGAGAAAAAAACTCGTTGTTTTCCCTGTGGCTCTCGCGAAAGTTAATCTGTGCCTCCACGAGAAATAAAATTGTGCCTCTTTCGGAAGAAGAAAAACACATTTTTTTCAGGCACTTTTTCTCTCCAGAATCTAAACAAAACCGGGAAAAAACCAAAAAACAAAAAAAAAACCTTCTAAAAACCGAAAACGCGTAAAAAATAAAAATACAAAATCTCGAGGAAGCGCCAAGCACCGTGCATAAGATAATTGATTTGATGCTAAAAGTTTGCGTGCCAAATTTTGGCAGCTGCCAAATGTTGGCTAGAGTTTTATTGCATACCAATTTTCATTGGCAATCTCACCAATGGTTGTCAAATATTGTCAACTTTTGATTTTGCCAAATGTTGGGAATGCAAAATATTGGTAGCAAACCAATCAATGACCCTTGTGGACTCACGCAAGGGGGTCCCCTTGGTTAGTTGTTCTTTTAGGGCATGTACAATGGTTCTATCTTAGAAATGCCAAATAGAATAAATAGTGAGATGGAGGAGAGAGAAATCATAAGAAAGACTTGTCTTCTTTTATTCAAGGCTAGCTATTGATGATCTCTTAGCACAATATGTCTCACCATGTTTTTAGAAATAGCTAGCTATTGAAGATAAGGCTAAGAGATGACTCATTGTAGACATTTTTTTTTCATCTCTAAATTACATGCAAGACTTTATCAATCATTGTACATGTCCTCAGAAATTAGAAAAAGAAAAAGATTTAGCAAACAGAGGTTTTTGCAGATTCCTAGGACCAAAGCCCGTATCCCAGCCGAAGCTATCCCACATTAGGCCCATGATAAGGCCGATACCGTTGCAGTTTCGGTCGCACCTTATCCCGGGAAACTGAGCGCTCGGAGGAAGAAGCCGCCGCCGTCCAGGGAGACAAACATGGAGGTGGGCTTGCGGCTACGCGCTCTCGCCCACAGCCGCGCGGCATTCGCCGGATTTTCAGCGGCCGCGCACGGCTGCAGGCATCGCCAACCGTGCCGCGTAGCCTCTTCATCTGCCTCCTGTTCCCGTGCGTGACAAGCTCGTCTCCTGCTATTCCGGCCGGCCCCTTTTTAATGATTCCGTGATTGCCCGTGCGCTTGCAGTTGCAGTTGCTTCCAGCGGCAATGGAGCCGCGGCTGGACCCGTGGGGAGCGGCGTGGAGGTCGCGCGCGCCAAGAGGATGCTCCATGTGGTGCTGGTTTCCCCTCTGGTAATTGCTCCGTTTGCAACTTATTTTCTCGGCCGATTGGCAGTGACGTACTTCACGGATGAAGGTGTAGCGTGTCAACTTTTGTAGATGGTGGTTGTGAGTCCAAAATTACAGGCACTGCTACTCTGCTAGTCCCTACGAAATTAATTAATGTTTCTGCTACTCTGAATGTAAAAATTTAACAAACATGTAACTTAGTACTACTCCCTCCGTTCCAAAATAGATGACTCAACTTTATACTAACTTTAGTATAAAGTTGGGTCATCTATTTTGAAACGGAGGGAGTAGTATGTTGGCTTGATTTAGTGAATTATTAATCTATTACTGCAAATGAAAGTAGTAGTATTGTGTAGAAGAATAATGCACACCATGTCAGTGAGATGATTCTTTGAGGTATCGAATTAGCTGCTTGTCACTAAACTATAAGTTTACATCATAGATCCCAGGAAATACAGGATCTATTGCAAGGACTTGTGCAGCTTCAGCAGTTGGCCTCCATCTTGTCGGGGTAAGGTTAGTACTCATTGTTGTGTCCCCCAGACACATGTTATAGAATGTGCATGCTTTATATTGTATTATTTGATCTGAATGATTTTTCTTCATCGATATTCGCAGCCATTGGGTTTTCATGTGGATGACACAAAACTTAAGCGTGCTGGATTGGATTATTGGCCGTATCCTATATGTGGAGATACTCCATTTGTATGATTTGCAAATCAGTGATTTGAACCTGCTGGCTGCTGCTCTCAGCGGTGCATTCATGACCAATCTTTTGTCGAGTGTGTCTTTGAAGTGTAGCAAGTCTCAACCTTAACTATTTATACTAAGATATGTTGTCGTTAAGATTCATGACTCCTGGGATGAGTTCCGAGATTATTTCATGAAGCAGGTACAATAGTTTATCATTTGACATCAATGTAACTACTGCATATTTGTGAAGTTTTAACTATTGTGTTTCTTTGCATTAGGATGGGCAAAAAAGATTGTTGGCATTTACCAAAAGAGGCACCCACATTCATTCAGTGAGTAACTACTCCCTCTGGTTCTATCAAAGCGGTGTTTTGGACATCTGCATGGTCTCCAAATGCAACAATTTTCACCACTAATTTATGTTGTAGTATATTTACGAAACCCAACAAATATTATAACTCACTTTTAAGAAAAAATACACTATGTTTTACCATCTATTATAAACAGTTTAAAAGATGTTAGCACGCAATCTGTGTCCAAAATGACAACTTTTCCTGAACCGGATTTTTATATTAATCAAATCCATCTCCTTAAAGTAAATCGTTATATACTTAAATGTTTTCCATTGTTTCAAATACTTCGTATCATTTGGTCAACAGTCTCTGTAGGGATGGTAGTAGTTAGTGAACCATTTTTAAGAGCAGCTCTAGTAGAATCGGCATATCCACAGCCTCCAAAACCGGTTTGGAATGCCCTCCATAATTTTTTGGAGGCTGTGCGCATGCACAGAGTCGCCAAAAACGCGCCATATTTTTTTTCTTGAATTTTTTTGGGCAAGATCAACCTCAAACAATTATAAACTTGCAAAGTAAATGTTGCTAAATAGATTTCATTCATATATAGGGGCAGAAAATGAGTCACACTGCAGCTTAATACATATAGAAAATTAACTAAAGTAAAGTGTGGCGGGCGGCGGGAGGACTTGCCGGTGGTGGGCGTGCCGGCGTGGAATGAGGTATTGGCGGCCTCAATGGGCGGAAACGGGCTAAGGCCTCGTCCCACTCCAGCCATGTGCCATTGTCGGCTTTGGGGGCAGCCCCCTAAATGCAGTGCTCCCTCTTGGCATCCATCTTGCCGCCATGGCGATCTTGAAATACGCCCACCCGCTTTCTCGTCGTACACGAC